TTTGTCATGGAATTTGTCATCCAAAACTATGCGGTTAGATGGTAAGTTCGAAAATTAATTAAATAATTTATGAATTAAAATTTACTTGTAACAAATTAAAAAAAGTATATATTTCTTTACATTTTGGCAATATAGTACTTTTTTTTTAAACTGTCAATAGTAATGAAATTTTTTTTTTCACTTAAAACCGTAATGAGTGGTAAATTCTAAAGTCCCTTTTTGTCCAAATTTTGGCCCTTATGATCAAATTACAAAAAACTAGTTTTCCAACACATTTTAAAAGCGGAATGGGACTATTTGGCGCGGCCGACTTGGCGCGGCCAACTTGGCGCGGCCGACTTGGCGCGAGCCATTTTGGCGCAAAGCCAACTTGGCGCAGGGACATTTTGGCGCAAGCCATCTTGGCGCGAGCCATCTTGGCGCGAGTACGTCGACATATAATATAAAAAATATTTCTTGTTCGTACTGTGGTTAGCACCCTGTTATTTATGCCAAATGTAGGCAACCAAATACACAGATTCATTCGCACAAATTCCAATAACTTAATGATCCACGGAGCAAGAAGTTCCACGTTTAGGAGTATGTTTATAATGGGGTGTAGGGCGCGAAGCGCCCGTGTGTCCATTAAACAGTCGGCATTACCCCTCCACGCGTTGGTGACTATAAAAATTAGGTTATGCTAACAACGGCTGCAATTTTTGTATATTTATATTATTTTTCTTGGTGTGAGTTCATCCGCGCCAAGATGGCCCGCGCCAAGATGGCTTGCGCCAAAGTGTCCCTGCGCCAAGTTGGCTTTGCGCCAAAATATTTCGCGCCAAGCCGGCCGCGCCAAGTTGGCCGCGCCAAGTCGGCCGCGCCGAATTGTCCTAGACCGTTTTAAAAGATGCTTTTTGATCGTTTGATTGACAAACCTTGAAAAAAAAACCTGACTTTTAGAATTTGTTGTACAAATAACTATTTTAATTTAATACTAAAATAATTTCTTTTCATTTTTTTTTCTCTCATTCAGATTACATCAAAAGGGAAATTTTTGGTAAGCCATTATGTCGCGACAAATTTTCACAAGTCACACTGTGGGAAACTGGATTAGTCGAAGCTGATTCAATTTCCTTTAAAGAAAACAATAGCTACACCATTCTCCATTTTAATCTTAATATACATAGTCATCTTTTCGTAGCAAGAAACTTAAAACATGGTTAAAATGGTACATTTTTGGAAGGAAATATCGATTTTGTAATTATGGGGCGAAGCCTAATTGCAAAATCGATATTTTCTAATACAAATTTTCCATTTTGAACATTTTAAGTTTTATGTTGTGAAAAGAGGTGTACAAATGTTAATACAAAAAACAAAATATAAGCCCGCCCACCCGCCCTGCCTCAATTGTAATGATTTTTTTTATTCGCTTTGAACCAAGGGGGCAGAGCTTAATTCCAAAATACTCATTTCTTTACAAGAAATTGAAAACATGTTTTTGAGTATTGTGTTGTTCAAAGAATACTGGATATATTAAGAAAAAAAGATAAAATATAAAACCCGCCCACCTACCCCATGTTAATTGTGATGATTTATTTGTTTTTGCAAACTTAAAATAAATTTAAAATGGTAAATTTTTGTAGGGAAATATGGATTTTGCAATTAAGCTCCGCCCCTAGGTCTACCAGTGAATGAAAACTTCATTACTATTTGGACCAGGGCAGATATGGGCAGGGCTTAATTTTTGGCTTTAATTTTTTTCTTAATATACATAGTATTCTTGGAACAACACGATCTCAAAAACATGTTTTTATTACTTCGAGAAAAATAAGTATTTTGTATTTAAGTTTCCCCCCCTTGGCTGACGGCGAATAAAAAATTTATCACAATTGAGATAGGGCGGGTGGGCGGGGCTTACATTTTGCTTGTTTTTTCTTAATATACATAGCCATCTTTTCATAACAAGAAACTTAAAACAAGGTAAATATGGTACATTTTTCCAAGAAAATATGGATTTTGCAATTATGGGGCCAAGCCTAATTGCAAGATCGTTATTTCCTTATACAAATGTTCCATTTTAAACATATTTTAAGTTTCATGTAGTGAAAAGAAGTGTGCACATATTAAAACAGAATGGCAAAATATAAGCCCGCCCACCCGCCCGATCTCAATTGTGATGATTTTTTTTATTCGCCGATGACTAAGAGGGCGGAGCTTAGCTGCAAAATACTTCTTTCTATACAAGAAATTAAAAACAAGTTTCTGAGTATCGTGTTCAAAGAATACTAGGTATATTAAGAAAAAAAGGTAAAACACAAAGTCTGCCCACCCACCCTATATCAATGGTAACGATTTGTTTATTCTTAGAAACATAATACACGTTTAACATGGTAAATTTTTGTTAAGAAATATGGATTTTGGAATTGGGCTCCGCCCCTAGATCTGCCAACGAATGAAAACTTCATTACTATTTAGATCAGGGCAGGTATAGGTGGAATTTAACTGCAAAAGACTTATTTCTTTACAAGAAAGTAAGTAATACCATGTTTTTGAGTATCGTGTTGTTCAAAGAATATTAGATATATTAACAAAAAAAGGCATTATCATTAATTTTCAGTATAGAAATAAGGATTTTGTAGTTAAGCGCCGCCCTCTTGGTTCATGATGAATAAAAAAATCGTCACAAGTGAGATAGGGCGGGTGGGCGGGGCTACACTTTGCCTTGTTTTCTTAAGATGTGTAGACCTATTTCCACAACAAGAAACTTAAAACATGTCTAAAATGGTAAATTTTTATAGTAATCAACTTAAATCCGCCACTTTTCTTTTACAATTCCTTTATTCTTTAAAAATGATTTGTGCGAAGCTTTGGTATGTGCAAACATCCCTACAGAAAGTCCATCATTCAAAAAATTTTAGAAGAAATGCACACAAAAATTTGTTCCTGGCGAAAGCACTCTGAGAAAAAATTTCGCTTTCCGTATTTATGAAAATACATTAGATGATATTGAGCAGAATATTGGTGAACACTGTATATATGTACATATTTTGTTCTAGACCAAACCACCAATACTGGTGGGCGTTACATTGTAAATTTATTAATTAATGAACAAATCATTTCAGTATTTTGAGATTAGGGAATGAATATTTTATGAACTTTTTTTCGCCTAAAATGGTTCCAACGGAAAAAAATTTACTTATGCTAGCTGACGGCGTAACTTATATGGTAAAAGCTGGGCAACTATTAGAAACAATTTAACAATCAACTTATTATTATTAAGGCTCATTTTAAATTCATGTTAAAGAAAATTAAATGTTTAGAAGAACAAAAAAGCCCTTGATAGAGTCCATTCAGCTTTTAAAACCATGAATCAAACCTGTTAAAATTTAAAGGTTGTTAAAAAATAAACAAGCAATCCTATTTACGAATTTAACTCGTTGCTACGAAAATTTGCAATTTAACACCCTTTAAATTTAACAAATTGTTACAGAATTGCCCCTTTTGACGAAAATATTTTAAAAGTTTATGATAAAATAGGTCAAATTATAAATAAGACTAATGCTTTCAAAAAGAACGTTGCCGAATATAGGCGAAATTTTAAGTGGCAGCTTCGAGATTGACAGAAATACAAATTCGGAATTTATGTTGAGAGAAGTTGTTCAAAATAATTATAAACATATTTTGTCCGTCAGGCGCCTTGACAGTTTGGAAACGGACTTGCTTTTAAATTATAACCAACAATACATGTTGTAGTCATTCATATTATATTGACTGTTTAATGGAAATAAAATTTAAATATCCTATAAATATCTTATTTATCTTATCTTATCGTTAGGATCAGTCTAAACAATCTTTGTATCACATGAAAATTACATAAAGCACTTCGAAAACCGTGCATAATTTGTAAAAATATATGCATATTTCAGCCCTTTTGGGTGCATATATATGCATATATTTCAGAAAAACTTTGTCCATATAAATCCGGACTCTAGTAAAAATTTTAGTTCGTAGTGGGAAAAAATTGTTGACTTTCCAGTAAAATTGTGAGAAGAAATTGCTTTAGATTTCCTTCACACAATTGTTAAGCATGATTATTTGGAGATAAGTACCGTCAGAGTACCGTATTTTTCTTGCTTGAGCACTTCGAATGATGTCAGAAAGTGCTAGTACGCCGATGTAGTACTCTAACTGCACGAAATATCAAAAAATGTTAACATTTTCTGACACGAAATGAACCTGTTTTATGAGCTTTGACGATATTGCAGTATTTATTTATGTTATCAAATACCTATATTTTATTTAGGCTTGTATAAAGTGGATACCGGAAATATTTATTTCTTGCGACCATTGATTAAAATAAAACAAAATAGATACATTATTTGTGGAGATGAAAGTAGCCACTGATTTCATATTTTTAAGCAAAGAATTATTCTGTACAAATAGATTTCACGAGTACAAATGGCAAATTTATTATTTATTACAACCCAAAGTAGGTGTATATGATCACAGCACCAGTAGCAAGACAGTTTATGTATTAATCGCGATATACATTAACCATGTGATTTAAAACGGTTACATTGAAAAGCTTCCTGGTGAAATAATAGGATCATTCAAATAAAGGAAAACCAATACTAATGAATACCCCAAAGGCACTGCCATCCATAATGATATTATACTTTGTTATTATTATTATAAGTCATGGTTAAACCACCTTTCAGAATAAGGTAGTAATGGTACTACAACAACTAAACCCGTATTATTTTTATCCAACTATTTAGTACAATGAATACTTGCAGTTATGTATTCTAAGCGGCCATATATCAAGCATATAAAGAACTATTAAAAAAAAAATAAATTAAGAGGACTGTGCACCTGATACGATGATGTGCAAATGATAAATAATTTCTAAAATTAGAAACGATAGCAGAATTTATATGTACATGCTAGAATACTACAGAAAAATTCTAGTAGTCTTAGTCCACTCACCATATTTGACAACTACCAATTTAAACAACACTTACTCATCAGATTTCCAACATGTTTAGAAAATTTAGCCTCAACTTGATCCCGAACGTCTCGAATTCGCTTCTGAAATAAAAATTTCTCCAAAAAAATCTAATGCCAATTTAAGATTGAATATTTTGTGCGTAACTTCAGTAAAATCAACTAATAGGTCATAATGCTAAATAAATCTTATTAAGCCCTCTAGCATCAAAGTAATTAGAAAGCACCTTACCTTCGATAAGCCTTGATATCCTGTCCTCAGTCTCTTGTAAAGCGTACATGCTCGCCCTATACTGTGCGCTTCGTCTATGGAAGCCTTCGCTGAATCCAGCTTCCGAAAGTTCCAAGTCGTCGGAAGACTTCCTCGCAGTTGTCTGACTTCGGACGACCACAGGAGTCTTCCTACAGGCTATAACACAGGCCGCCGCCACGATCCCCACGATGAGAAGCACTGCAGCTGCGGTCAATGCCACTAATATTACGGTTAAATTCTGATGCCTAGACGAGGGATATCCTTCAGACCCCGGTCTTGTTGTTGTGTCTAAGGAACCGCAACAGATTGGTCATTAGTTTCTCCAAGGGGATGCATGTTTCTATTCTGCAACGCGTGCTTTTACTCGCTTAATATTAAATTATTCAGACCGAGTTATTATTGTGCCAAGGGATCAAGAGAAATGTTAAATTCCGGTTCAAGGCAAAGATCCGCTCACTGTGGTAGTCGGCAAATAAATCGTCTTATTTTATTCTTATGAGTTTGTGCTTCTGAATTAACAAGTGATATTTATGCCTGCAGGGGAAGGTGCTGCCACATTTCTTTGAGAAAATAAAAAGTACGTAACGGAAAAAATTTTATTTTTGGGGTGTAACTGATAATGTTAATTTGCTCCCTAAAACCGAAAAAGGCAGTTATCATGATCTTCTTCGTAATTATCAACTTGAAGACGTTTCTGTTGATCACAGTTTATCATGTTCTTTCTGAGAAATGTGTCACGAGGGTTACAGTAAAAATTGGACAGATCTTCCGTCGTTCTTGAAAGTTCAGAATTCTGCTTTAGAATATATTTAAGGCACATAACTAACGTTATAAAATGTCCTTCAGCACTAGGTAATAGAGATCTGAAGCTCAAATGTTTATTTATGTTTATACATCGAAAGAATGTCACGTAGAAATTAGTTTGATTTGAATGAGTTTGTCTTCTCAAAATCACCCATACCCCGCCACTGTCCACTGACACACTTGTTTATATTTGGTCGGCCACTCTGCAGTGAGTTGGTCGTCAACCCATGATAGAAACCGGATTAACAATTGCTCCAAGAATATGAATGCATTGATAAAGGGCAATATTGGTGAATTTCCCATTTAAAGATGTTTCGGTCAACATTATTTCAGCAAGGACACGTAGACCAATTCTGACACATGAACAATAAAACAAATACAAGAGTATGCTATTTTATAAAATGTATTATACAAGTTTTTGAGGTGTCAAGACATTGATGGGGAGACTGGGGAATTTTTTTTAATCTTGGCAAGATATGGTGTTACTTTACTATGAAACAACAACTAAAATTTAGTTATTCATCCGCTCCAGAAACTTAATAACGTCTTTGCAACACTGTATTAAGTAAATATTTGTTAAGTAATGTAGTCTACGATGCAACGTTGTATGCGTTTTGTGGAATACTCTCGTTTTTTACGACTTTTTGTTTAAGATGTTTAAAACAACTAATCAATAATATTTCATCTAAATTTCACAAAATTGTGGGAACATAATAGTATTTTTTATTTTAATGTGTAGACGTTGTGATAAAAACTAATTTACAGAATTAACTTCTATAATTTAGCTTCTCTGATTGTGTTTCAAAACTAAGGGAAGTTATGTCTAAATAACCATCCAGACAAAACCGTCGCAGAAAATTGAATACATTTCCAGCAAGACAATTTTTGCAGCTCCACATAACAAGTAATGCTTGTTGAAATGAACAATAATGTCAAAATTTCAGTAGTATTACATAAAAGGTGGTGTAAAAATGTCACGCTTAGTATTAAGGATTCTTTTTACGTCCTCTTATCGTTTACTTTGGATGTGTTTTTGCATTTAAGGCTCAGACATTAATCCAAGCTTGAAATTTACGCCGAAAATAATAATAACGTTATAATAGGAAAATCCGCAAGCTAACGGACCCACTCTGAATGTCTCTCGGTTCATGTTGCCGTAATCCTGGGCCGCATTACTGTTGTGTTTAAAAGGGAAAACCGACATTCCGGAATTTATGCCACTACCTGTTAGGGTATAAGTACAAGTAAAGTTCCCTGCAGGGTTTTACATGTTAAATCTGAAGTTGCTTTTCCGCAAAAACTGGGCCACAAACTCTAAAACTTTAGTTTCTCATACATCAGCTTTTTTATGGAACGTATAAATATAAAAAATAAGTTAGGATAAAGATCGTAAAAAAACAGGGGATTGAAATAATGGGAGTAGAAATTTCAGAAGGTAAGTTTGCTTAGTTTTCCGTTTTAGATCCTTTTTTATATTCAATAAGGTTAGCCAACCATTTAAGCTTCGTTTATCTCAGGTATGTTTATGCAGGCGTTTGGGTCCTCTACTCCTCCGGCTATTGTATTGTAGAGTTATGTTAAATTTATTGTCCGTGTGCTATCAGGTTCCTCTATATTTACAGTCGAAATTACGGCCAAAGGAGAAACTGATTCAGTAATATTAAAAGCAAAGTACCGGTTCAACACGGAAAAGAATGTGCAAGCTCATAAATCATCCAACTGGTCTAAGAGACAGATAAAAATACCGAATATTCACAACGAAGTATTAATTTTTTTCACTCACTGTTTTCGGCATCAGAACAAAATTTTAAGAAATGTGAATTATGGCCACATTTGCCATTTGTCACAAAGAAATACTATTACGGTTTCACGGAGCGATATCTGAGATTAAAAAAATATTAGGCATCTTTTATTCTGAGCGAAGTCATATAATTTAACAGAGCTTTGTTCGAATCTACCAAAAATTAATTTACGCGACTTTGTTCGAAGACAGCCGTCGCAAGGAATTTTTATGTGGCGCCGTATTTTTCATGAGACATTCGACGATTCGTAATAACAATGAAATATTCTTCTAAACACCTTAGGAGAAAACATCTCCATCTTGGGATAAAATGCGCCCTTTTCCAATTTATTCTCTTATTCATTCCCTGTGCAAAAATGACATGCCAGAGGGATTTTACCTCACAAGCGACTTTTAATATAAACAGAACGTCACTAATTTGACAAAAGTCCTCAAGCTATGTTCTCAACATAAAAGTAATGTTCTTTGTTAATTTGATGAAGTTTTAGTGTTGTAAAATAAATTTATGAGAGTAATCTACGCCATTGTCGCCCATGGGGTTTCCCCGGAATTACAAGGATACGGTTTTATGACAAAATTGTCTTTGAGGACGGTCAAGAAGCGGCCTGTGGTTTAATTTGTCTCTGTATAAAATTGAAAAATTGTTTGGTGTTTCATTACTAAGGGCTTCTTGCCACGTCATAAATCGCACACAAATAGTTATCATTACAACTAAGAAATTCTTATGTTTATAAACATGGTCAATATTTTCAATTACTTATTTGTTATTTTAGAAATTTAGAAAGTTGTTGAACACGTCATAGTTTGGCTTTTCTGGTATAAAGTAGAAGAAATAATTTTATACTAGTGAAAAATATATATGTAGTTAACAAAATTTTCTAAGCGTTTATATTTCTTGTTTATAAAAACATTTTTTTTCTTAAAGTGCTGGTGTTCGAAATATAAACATTTTTATTTCTTTTTTTAATTAAAAAAGTCTGTTATGTTTTACTAACTAATTATGGATGTAGTAGTTAGGTAAAAAATATATTAGAAATTAAGTAATAATAATAATAATAATAATAATAATAATAATAATAATAATAATCTAATCAATTCATATCATTACTTGGTCTTAGTACCCGTAATGATAGAAGTCTTGCCTGAATGCCGGTCATTTCCGGGTCAGTGGTGGGTCTTAATATTTATTAGAAACAATACAGGATTGTATTCTAAAAGGATGATGCATCGCACTTTGTGCGTTTTTCAGCATCCCCTCTAAAGCCTAAATAAACTTAAAACAAATATGTTATTTTATTTTAACTTAAATATTTCGATAGAAAATATGCAACAATTTGAGTTTTTAAAGAAATAAAACTATTACTACTTACAATTTTGTCACCGTATTCATTTAAAATTTTTGTACAAATATATGAAAATGAAGCTTTAAATTTTTCTGTAGCGTGTTTAGGAATATCATAGGGCTCTTTATTTCTAAGATTGCGCTGGTGTATATCTTCTCTCCTTCTTAGACATTTTATTAAATACACTGGTTCTCCCTTTTTGATTATGCTATATACGGCCCTTATGTATATCAAATTAAATCTTTCTTCAATTTTTAAAATGGCTTGTTTGAAATAGTTAGGTGTGATATGTTCTCTGAATGGTAATAAATAGCTAAATCGAAGACATGTGTTTTGCATTAGCTGTAATTTATATTTGAATTCCTTTGTAAGGTGTTGATAATAAACGGATGAGCAATAATCAAAATTAGAGATCAGTAAAGTATTACACAATTTCCACTTGACATTGCTATCTAAATAATTCTTGAATTGATACAAATACCCAAATTTTGGATAACATTTGCTTAGTACATAATTCACGTGGTGATGAAATTTTAATTGACTATCTATGTGGACTCCTAAAATTTTTATACTGTCTCTAAACTGTAAATTATCATCTTCTATTTTGATTAATCTCTTTAAATCAGGTAGTACACGACTAATATTATGTACTGAACCAATGCATAGTGCTTCACATTTCTTCCTATTCAGATGTAACCCATTACGTCCGTTCCAACTAATGATGACATGATTTGTTTGTTAATGGAAACCGCCGCTTGAAATGTTTCTTGTACGTTGAAAGATGTATACAGCTGCGTGTCATCTGCATACAAATGAAACACAAATTTCGGTAGAAGGCAGCAAAGCATATCGGCTGTGAAAATAGTAAAGAGCACAGGACCCAGTACACTACCCTGCGGGACTCCCTCAGTAATGTTGGTTATTCCAGATGTTTCCTTTCCAATTTTAACGATTTGCTTTCTACATTTAAGATAACTTCGAAACCAATTAACAACTAAATTACTACATCCGTAATAGTTCAATTTAGCTAACAAAAGATCATGATTTATTGTGTCAAATGCTTTACTGTAGTCTAAAGCAATGAGAGTTGTAACCCGACCCTTATCCATTGCCTCTACACAATCATTAATGACTTTTAGCAACGCGGTGTTTGTACTGTGATTAGGGCGGTAACCGGATTGTACTGAAGGAATTATATTATACATTTGCATATGATATAAAAGTCGAGATTTTACAATTGCTTCCATTAATTTGGAAAAAATAGGTAAAATACTAATAGGTCGCAAATCTGATACCACAGATGCTTTTGGTTTCTTAGGCAATGGAATAATTGTAGCTAT